ATATGTTCCCAAATTATTCAATGTTCCTCTCATTACATAGTGGGACTTAATTCACTTCTCTGGATTATAAATTGGACATAGCAAACCATGTCTGAACAGATTAGGGCAGAAATGATAGCACATCACTTGTGCCATCAGGTTATCAGAATCTGTGGTTCCCATCCTGGGCGCTCTCTCTTGCTGCCTCTTGGAAACCTGCTTTGGGGGAAGTGAGAACCTTAATCTCATTTTCTTCAGTGGCTATAGCCTATAGCTCTGGACAATTAGTTTAATTGCATATTTATGAGAAATCTTGAATGAGAACTACCCAAATAAGCTCTTGTTGGATTCCTTGCATGAAAAGAAAATATGATGTCTGTTTTTTTTTTTCAAGAGATACATTTTGGAGTAAATTGTTATGTAGCAATAGGTAACTTCGACAGATTGTGATGCCCTAAAGTAAGTACTATTGAAACAAAAACCTAAACCAAGAGAATGACTTCTCAACTGGGCAGTGAATATGAAGGAGAGTAACAGTGAATGACTAATGTACCTTGAAGAAGCTTTACTTTAGGTTTTATTCTGAAATAATTTTGGACTAAAAATTTGCATATTAATGCAGACATTTCCCATGTGTTCATTATCCAGTTTCTATCAATGATAACATTTTATGTAACCATAATAGATTATCAAAACTAGGAAATTAACATGACACCATATTATTAAGTAAATTTCAGACGCAACGTGGATTTCATCAATATGTATGTGAGAATACATTTTTATAAAATTTTATCCTGTCCAGATTCATAGAATCACAACCCATGTGACTCCTGTGTGTCTCCTTTCCTCCCTTCTGAACAGAGACATCTATAGCAGTTATCCCACGCCCTCTCTCCCCACCGTATCTCTGTTGGATATATGGGAGGTGAATAAATTGTTCCTTTATTTTATCAAGTCTACAGGAGAAGACCTAAACTCATGAAGCTCTACTAAATAAAGCAAAATAAGGACTTTCATGCAAACTTGAAAGTGATTTCGATTGTGAGATTCTAGACTTTGAGCTGATGTTTTAATAGTATGAAACTTTTGAAGGCTTTGGGAAGTTTGGAGGGAATATAAATAATTTATGGATCACCAGGTGGCAAACAGTGATGATTTAAAAAATATATCCACAAATTCTTTAATATGTCTTCTTTGAGTGTGAGCTGAACCTAGTAAGTTCCTTTATACAAAGAGAAGATGGCAGAAGTGAGGGTATGTCACTTTTGAGATTATACAAAGACCGTAGTTTCTATCTTGGGTGGTCTTTTCTCTCTCAGATCACCTGCTCTGGAGGAATACAAATAGTGAATGACCCTATGGAGAGGTTCATGTAGAAAATTTCTGAGCTTCCTGCAGATTCTGAGAGGAGAGCCTCTGCCTTCGTTTAAGCTGTCTGAAGTTATATGCCTGGCCAGTGTTGGACTACAACCTTATTGAAGACCCTGAATCCGAAATACTCAGCTTAGGCACTCCTGGATTCCTGACCCTCAGAAACTATGTGAGATGATAACTATTGTTTTAAACTGCCAAGATTTTCACTCAGCAATAGATAACCGATACACACACTGTGCAGTACCCTCCTCTTTGGTATCCTGCTTTGTAAATTCTAGGTACGTCACTCTGTGTTCTCAACTCAGCCAGCTCTTAGGGCTCTGGTTTTTCCTCCCTTATGCTGAGATCTGGCACTTCCTCCGGGTAGTAAGCTGGGGAAATTAAACTTATTGTTTAATTTACTTATCTTCTCTCATGGGTCACAACTCTAGCATGACTGTTACCCAATGTCCAAATAGTATTTTACACATTTTGTCTGCTTTCTAATTGCATGTGGTAAAAGTTAAAATCTGATCCCTGTTATTCCATTATGGCCAGAACTAGCTTAAGCCTTGATCTCAATTTAAATGTGAATTTTAACAAGAGTTGATATCCTCTTGTAACTCAATGAAAGGGTTCTTTGTATTTTCTTAAACTTATTTTCTTAAACATTTTTTTGGGGGAGGAAGGTATTAAGATTAGTTTTAGGTTGTAAGAGTTTCAATGCCAATGAGTGAAGAGAATAAGAAATGGTTGGAGGCATCAAAGCTGACTTTCAATGTAGAACAGACTGGGTTATGAAATCCAACATGTGAACACCTTGTGCATAAGAACAGTTGGTTCCACTTACTCTGATGCTTCGTCATTCACCGCTTCTCCTTCTGTCCTTGCTCTGAAAACACAAAAGCAGTGCTTAGTTGATGCTAGCTACCATCTGGTGACATATGTAGTGACCTGTTTCTTCTCAACCACCACATTTTTTTTCCCCTCAGCTGAATTTTTTTTTTCTTCCGCTCCAAGATTGGTAAGGCACACATACAACACAGTGCTGCCTTTTCTCCCCCATTTGACCACACATAATCTACTTACCACTGAATCAGGTTTAGTTCATTCCCTCACATACATACATACTTAAAACTATTGTAACCAATGCCTTATTTGCACATCTAAGTCTCCTCTAGTTAAGGGCACAGATCTTTTCTATATGTCATGTATCTCATAGGCTTATTCTGTTAGCCAGATAAATTATCTGGGTAGTGGCTGATCAGTGCAGTGTTACTGCTGTACCTCTGGATTGAGAGATTGTAATTGGAGTAAAATACCATGAAGAAAACAATTTTCTATCACTTTCTAAAGTATCCTGGAGAATTTCCTGAGAATTTCTACACATAATTAGTGAATTAGGCAGAGTGATAGTCTATGAAAAAAAAACGATGTAAAAAAATCACTCTAACTTTCAAAATTTTGATAGTCTAGTGAGAGAAATAGTACACAAATCATTTCAACTCAAATGGAATATAAAAGTCTTTGAAATAAAAAAAATAAATTATAAGAGTATTTCTAACAAAAGGAAGAGTGAATAACAGAGAATCAGGCAAACCCTTCTGAAATGATTAACCTCTACCATGAAGGACCAGTAGGGATTATGCATTATTAGGGGAAAAAATAAAAACAACAACAAAAAAGAAGAATGGGAACTTAACATTGGAAACTTGTGATTTTAAGTATATTTATCTTAATTGTGCATCTCATTTAGTTTTAAAAAAACACAAATTTATGCCAACATATACAAATTAACATGCATTTCTTCTCCAGCTTTACTCCTATTTGGTGGTTGTTAAAATATATGTAAGAAACACCTTATTTAAGACATATTCTGGTGCAGGTGTGCAGGTGTTTTATTGAGATTAGCTCTTGATTTTAAGATTTTGTTATACTTCTTTATAATGAACTTCCTCTGATTTTTGTTTACGGTTAAGTCTGTACAATTGAGTCCATGAAGAAGTATGTAGGGTCCTAAGTAACCCAGGTATTTCTTTAGCATCTGGATACCTACACTCCAGTTATTCCAGGTTTACAGATTTAACAAGGCAAGTACTGAAGACAGAACCATCTTGACAAACTCACCTAGAGTTCCTTTGTGTTTGTTTTTAAACTCTGGACAACTCAAAGAAAGTATTCTAGGACTCAGCTTATTCAAACAATGGCTTTCCTTTGAAATAAGATCATCTGCCTCCCTTAAAGGCATAGTAGTCACCTTTGACACCAGGAGCTGAAGGTAAAACAACAAAGAATGTGGGGAACCAAACTCTGTGCTGGAATTAAAAAAAAAAAAAAAGATTTGCATTAACTCTCATTTCTAGGTGTCTGACCTAATGCAGTGGATTCAAATGACAGGTTAGATCAATCATTCTTGAGTCTGAAGTAAAAGGTTTGATGTAGCTGAGAGGTATGGAACTGTAAAAAAGGAAGAGGGACATTTGGGGTTTAATTATCGTCAAAGATGACAAAAACACATTATTGTGCACAAAATAAAGTACCACAAGGAAAACAATCTCACCTGGCCTGGGATCTTTAGAACATAATATTTAAAGTTGATTTCCTTAGTCTTACTCCTATTAGGAAGGACTATGTGTGTGTTAGGAAAGAGAGAGAAGGATGGTGGGCGGGACAGGAGCACTGATGAATGAGGAGCAGAAGGTGAGATTGGGATAAAGGGCTCTGAAATGTCAGGATGTAAGGGTAGTCAGGGTATTGACTGTCCTGGGAACCTTTGAAGCACACTCCTTTACAAATTACATTATCTAACAAATTACAAGAGACAAAGGTGGGAAGACAAATCAAAGCCATTTGAGCTCTGTGCTCAGGTCTGCAGTAAGTTTTGCTTTGTGTGTTGTGCAACTGGGGGTAGAAATGGACAAAAGGAGGAGCTTGAGTAAAGGGTGGTAAAAGAAAGCTTTGCTACCTGCACACGCCTCCGCTGTGGAGGGGGTAAGAGCAGAAGGTGGAGATGCAAATCGGGCCTTCTGGAATGGCCAATCAGAAGTCAGGAGAGGGAATTTGGGTCCCCAAGGTACCCCAACCCGGCGTTTGAGCACGTGTGCGGTGTTCTGGGACCTTTGTCCCGCAACGTCACGCCTGGCGGGCACCCCTTGATCCTCTATTGCTGTCGGATCTGCTAGATATTTTTCTCCTCTACACTCCACTTTGCGAATCGTGTCTTTCTCACTTTACTCCTCATTCATTCTTTCCCGCGCGGGTGCGGGATACAGCCTTAAGCCTGGCGTTCCCAGGAGCGTGTGGAGCTTGGCACACCAAGTTGCTGAGACTGGGGCACCATCCTCCTCCGGTTCGGCGAGGGTGCCGGCAGAGAGCCTCGGCTCGGACAACACAGCACTCCTGCCCGCACGGGCAGTCTTCCTCTTGTCCCTGAGGCAGCACAGCACGCCCTGCGCCTCTCGGCTCTTGGCCGACTGTGCGTAGGTCCCGTAGGACTCTGGCTGTAGCCTGCTCGGCCTTGGAAATCCCTGCAGCGTTCAGAACACAGAAACTAGACTCATCACCTAATTCGCCAGGGAGCCGGGGCGCTGCGGGGCCGCGGCGCTGCCTCCCCCGCTCCTCCCCCATCCCACCCCCGCCCGTGCTCTGGCGGCCTCCGGGAGTCACACAGCCTGCCCCCCCACCCCCCACCCCCGGCAGACAAAGGGCCTGGGCAAATTCGCCGCCTGGCCTCCTAGAGCTCCGGGGAGGCGTCTGCGCCCGCGGTGGATCGCGCAGGAGGCGCGCGCGGGGCTAGAAGCTGCGGCCGCGCTCGCGCGGTAGAGGAAAAGCCACGAGATGCGCCTGACTCACATCTGTTGCTGCTTCCTCCTTTACCATCTGGGGTTCCTATCGAATGAGATGGTTTCAGGTAAGGTCTTCCTTGAGTTTCCAGCTTCCTTTCCAACTTCCCCAGTGGAGATCAAGAAAACACGGGAGGGCAGAGTTGGTGCAACTGGTGCACGGTGAGCAGAGCTCAATGGGTAGCAATAAAAATAAGCGTGCTGATGCCTATGAGGAGTCAAACTCGGAAGCGAAGCGCACTTCTCCCAACCTCACTTTAACCATCTGTGAAATGAGCAGTACCCTCTAGAGTAGTAATGTTTGCACAGGTACATTTACAACGCCTGGAGAAAAATTGAGAAGTATGCTCTGTCATACAGAAATCACTTAAATTGTGCTGGATTCTTTGCACTGATTTTCATCAACAGCGGTCATCAAACTTTGCTGGCCCACTCCCTCTCTCACCCCTGCATCATCATACTTTCATTCTGAAAATGCTGGGGTCTGTAATCTGATTGCAAAGCATCGGGGTTTGCGAGCATTTCAGGAGCTAAACGGGTGGTCTCCATTCCTTTCAAGTGAGCGCCTTGTATCAGTACAGATTGTGAGTCTGGGAATGCTTGTGCTATGGAACCGCCGCACTTTAAGTCCGGTACTTCTGTCTGCCCTGCCTGCAGGACTGCAGTTCACCCCTGACCGCGAGGAGTGGGAAGTCGTATTTCCTGCACTCTGGCGCCCAGAGCCGGTGGATGCAGCGGGCGGCAGCGGGGGCAGCGCGGACCCAAGCTGGTTGCGCGGCGTAGGGGGCGGCGGAGGCGCCCGGGGACAGGCTGCCGGCAGCTCACGGGAGGTGCGCTCCGTGGCCCCCGCGCCACTGGTAGAGCCCGCGGAGGGTCAGTCCGAGTCCCAGTTCCGACCTCCGTTAACGCCAGGAGGTGAGGAGGACGAGGAGCTGGAATCACAGGAGCTGCCACGGGGATCCAGCGGTGCTGCCGCCCTGTCCTCGGGAGTCCCGGCCTCGTGGCAGCCGCCGCGGGTCCCACAGCCGCGGCCGTCCCCGTCCCCGTCTCCGTCCCCTCCTCGAGCCCAACAAGCCGAACAAGACAGCGATGAGGTGTTGCTGAGGATCCCGGCCTTCTCCCGGGACCTATACCTGCTGCTTCGGAGAGATGGACGCTTCTTGGCCCCGCGCTTCGCTGTGGAACAGCGGCCAAGTCCAGGCCCGGGCCCCACGGGGGCAGCCGCTCCGCGCCCTCCTGCCCCTCCCGATGCCTCCTGCTTTTACACCGGGGCGGTGCTGCGGCACCCAGGCTCACTGGCCTCTTTTAGCACCTGTGGAGGTGGTCTGGTAAGCGCCTTTCCTCCCCAGCTCTCCACCTTCCCTGCTACCTCTTTGCTTTCCCTCCATAAAACAAGCTGATTTGCATGCACCTCCTCCTCGTTTTCAATGTATTCCTCATGAATTTTGCCTTACATAGCACCATGCAGGTGTCTGCATCCTTTGCTTCCAATGGAACATCTTCAGGGTAGACCAGTGAATCAGAAGTCTATTGGATATATAAATGGCCTCCTTCTAGATGGTTATACAATTTATTTTGAGTACTATATTAAATTCTGCCTCCTTGTTACTTTTTGCCGGTGTTCAACTTCTTTCTTTCTCCCGAGTTTCTAAAATAAGCCCACCATGAGATGTTTTTTAGCAGATTGAAATCAACCAATCTGTTCACTGCTAACGCTCTTTCGCGTTTGCTCCCCACCCTCAGCTCCTCATCTATTGTCTTACTTTTTTAATGCCTTACTTCAGAGTTGTCAGAACAGCAAGTCTACAATTTAAATACATCTACAACCATACTAGACACCTGTTCACAGTTTCTGTTAGACAGAGTCAGTCAGCTGAAAGCCTGACACTGTTGTCTAATGAATGACAGTGGACTCCAATCAGTAGTCAAAGGGTTATGGGTCTATGACCAACCATTTTCTCATCTAAGGTTTACATTTTACTGGACAGTACCTCCAATTTTTCTTTCTTCAATTCACATAGGAAAGTAGCAAGGTTGAGAGCTTTGTTAACAGGCTGTAGGGACTAAGGTGTCAAAGCCACTTACTCTTTTAATGTACATTGTTTGTTTTTTCTCCCTGTGTCTTAACCCAGGGTTTGGCATAATTATTGCCTTCCATAGTTGGCCTTTATTTTGTGTATGTGTATATGTGTGTGGGGGGGAGAGTTCAGGGAATAAAATATATATAAAATAAAATTTACCACTGTAACCACTTTTATAGGCACAGGTCAGTGGCAATAAGTATATGTTGTTGTACAACCCGTACTACTGTGACCTTTACTTTTGGTTTAAGGCAAAACTCATAAAATATCAAAAATGCCCATGTGATTTGTGGCTTCACTTTGCTGTTCATACTGGGCCATTGATGAAATCCACAAGAACACATCTGAAAATAACTTGCTCATTTGGAGAAAAACCCAAAAGCAATGAAAAGCTGAAAATATTAGCACAACTAAAGCAATGAAATGTAAAAAGATGATTAAAAATCCAAATGAAACAAAACTAGAAGTTTTTATTCATGTCCCTCTAAGGTACCATAGTCAATTGATTAAATTGCTGGATAGGTACATATTTTACTAGATTCACAGAATGGTGAGTATTCAACTATGGAAATTTTTTAGTATAAGTGAAAAAATTTGGCATGGAAAAATTACATGAAAAGCATTTACAAATGTTTTCTGTGTAACTGATGTTTGAACACTTCACTGGGGAAAACATTTTGTGGGCATTTCATTGTCCACTAGATTTTGGCTAGAGATTAAATAATTACATATAGGAAGTTCCTGGTGTAGTAAGAGCAATAGGGGATAAAGCATTTCACTGTGTTGAAACATGAACTATTGGTCAGATTTTCCAAATGAGCTGTGTGCCCTCTCTATATACTTAAGGGACCAATGCTAAAGTTATGAGTAGGTTTTTCATAGACTGAATAGGAGTTTGACATACCTCCCTGTTTATCATGTTGGCTTTTTGCTCACTTTTCCTATTAGGCATTTATATATATATATATACACACACACACACACCTATAGATATGTGTGTGTGTGTTTGTGTGTGTGTGTGTGTATGTCCTGAACTGGGAAGTCTTTGTTATTGAGGAAAACTGACATTGCCAGCAATACAGTATAGCAGTCAGACTTTGAGTAAAATGTTAGGCAAATAGCCAAGAAGGGTGGTTTGTTACTCCAGACTGCCATGCCAGCCCCTTATAAGCTGGTGGATTAGGAAAGAGAGAACATGATTTGTTATCTGGACTCTGGTGTTGGCTTGCTTCCTGATACTGATAAGTTCTTTACCTCTCCCATAAGTAAGAAGTGAGAATTAGATGATTGAATTTAAAAAAATGAAGCAGTGGAGTTAGAATCCAATTAATTGTTTAAATGTATTCTAGAGCCTATATTAGGATCTAGAATGCCCTATCTTTAGGGGCCCACAGATGAGGAGTGTGTATATATCCCATGCATAGGCCAGAAGATGCTAAAATGTCTGTGGTATCAGGCCTGAAAAGTCTTATCTGCTAGAGTATTGACTTTCTCTGTGTGTGTTACAGATGCAAATAGGGAAATAGAATAGGCTGAAGTATGTGCAAACACAGGAATGGTAAGGGCAGTGATGTGGCAGCACTCTCTTGTTGCTTTTTTTTTTTTTTTTTAATTTCCAAGACATTGTAAGGTGTCTAGTTTTTAGTAGGCACTAAGTAAAAGTTGCTGAAGAATAATATATAATGCATAAAGTACTTTATTACATTTTAAATGATAGTTTGTGAAAAATTAAAATATGTAACAAATTTTGTGAAACAGTGCAATAATTATGTTTGCTCACAATTAACTTAATACCTTAAAAATACACACACACACACACACACACACAGACACACATAAGTTCTGGGCCAAAGCAAAATATATCAACACCTACTTTGCCTATGACTGAATGCATAGATTATTTATTGAGGATGATAAGAAATGACTACTACATCTATTACCGCATTATTTGCTTAAATTTAGAATTTTATACTTTGGCAATTATTTTGATTAGTTTGATTAAACAGAATCTGGAGACTTGTATAAATTTTTTTTTTCTGTCTCTTCCTTTTTTTCCTTTTGCAATTTATCTATCTGCTTGTCTTTCCTTCCTTCCTCCCTCCCTCCTTTCCTTCCTTCCTTCCTTCCTTCCTTCCTTCCTTCCTTCCTTCCTTCCTTCTTCAGGATTTAACCCAGGGACCCTTAACCACTGAGCTACATACCCAGACCTTTTTATTTATTTAATATTTTTTATTTTGAGACAAGATCTTGCTAAGTTGTTTAGGGCCTTGCTAAGTTCCTGAGGCTGGCTTTGAACTTTTGAACGTCCTGCCTCAGCTTCCTAAATTGGTGAGATTACAGGTGTGTGCTACCATGCCAGGCTGCAATTTACCCTTTTACCTGAATCAAAGTACTCTATGCTGTGGCATGTTTTGAAGAATTTAATATTTTAGGACCTCCACTTTAGACGTCACTGCGGCAAAAACCAATGTGAAGGCAGGTGTCAGGGCAGGGATGGGGGAAGACAAGTAAATAACAAGGAGAACAAATGAAATTCACATCTAAATGAAAAGGTGAAAATGACTGACTGACTGAATACATGTATGGTCTTCATTCAAGCCATGTTTTAGAAATGATAGAAAAATATTCTGGACAAATCTAAAACACTACTATAAGAGAATGCCATGAATACATCAGACATTTTGAATATCTCCTGAAAAACTGAAAAGAGTTTGGTGGGATTAACACAAAGCATACAGACATAAGAAAACATCTGTGTGTGACGGGAGCTGTGCCAAAATGCTGCTGTACATTCAAGGAAAGAGAATGCAGAAGCAGAATGGAACCACATAGCCACAGTGGAATTTGCCTTTTCTGACATCCAATTATGCCAAGTAGTTATTGAAAGCCACATGTATGTGTCTGTAGGCAAAAGAAGAGAGAATAGAGGCAGGGCTTTCTTGGTCATATTGGTGACACCCAGGGTGTATAGAGTCTCCATTCTTAAAGAATGAGCTATTGTCTCCTTGAATGATGTCTCAATGAATGGTCCTATCTGACTCTAACTAGAGTGGAGTTGAGTAATCTGAATGAGACACAACACATAGGTGAGCTAGAAGCCAAAATAAATAAATAAACAATTGATAAAAAAAATGGATGAGCTAACAGCCAAGAACACTTTTAAGAATATAAATCATATAAAAGATAGTCAGTAAATACTGATTAATTATTACACGAGACAACAAAATTAATAGGCTAAATAAAATGCTGTAACAAGACAGTAGTGCTCAGAAGAGGAAGAACCAATATATATTCATGGAAAAAAATTAAAACCTAACAAATTGCTATCCAAAAAAATGTTTTGATACAAGGAAATTAAAATTGCATGAATATTAGAATTAAAGTTTTATAGATGAACTGATAGGTAAATTTGTGACCTAGAAGATCAAATCCAGAAATTAATTCAGAACATAAGACAAAGGGCAAATAGATACAAAGTGTGAAAGAACATTGGTGATCTATGATTTATAGGTCAAGATCCAAAATTTCTCTAATAGTTAATGCTTTTTGAAAAATCAGGTAAAGGTAAAATTTTTAAATGCATGTAGTAGTATACCTTCTAGATTGTCTAAGTTTAGGATATGAGGCCAAGTTAGATAGATGATGTTCCAGGTGAGCCTTACTCAGTGTATGCTAAAACCAATTTCCAGTATGGGTCTCTGTACTTGACATGAAAAATTTTAGAAAAATGCAAAGCAGTTTATGTATAGAATACTGAATTTTGAAGATTTTCCAGTTGTTTCTTGGTGCCTAGTCTCAAATAAGATTACAGCAATTTTTCACTACTTTTTCTTATTTTCCCCAAATTTTCATAGAAACAAAGATGTATTTTGCACTCCTATTTTACTTGCTTTAGAATTTAGTGTTTGATTATGTAATTACAAAATGTTGTGCCTTGATACACTCAAACGAATATAGCTGAGTATTGGTAAATATTTAGGCCCAGTGGTAGGAATAATGCATACAATAAGACCAGGGAAGAGGCTGCTACTCATGAGTGTTTGACATGCCGCAGGCTTCATTGACTTATTTTTCAGGTAGAGTGTAGAGTATTTCATTCAATGATTTGAGTTGAATTAGTTGATACATCCAATAATGGTTAGGTAGAGATTGATACTTTTTTTTTGGTAACAGCATCAATTTGTCAGAGATGATATATAAACCTTCCGAATGATTGATCAGTTTCCAAACTCAGCATGTTGCAAATA